GCCTAGCAGAGCGAGCTCTGTTTAGGTTGAGTGTGGCTGACAAAATCTGTGCGGGTCACTGAGGGCAGCGTGGAGCCACCCTCCGTGTTTGCATCGAGTGGAGTCCGCATTGCGGGAGATGGCGCTCCTCCAGCTCAAGGCGACTTCGCAAAGCTGACGTCTCTTTGAGCTGCAGCCACTTTTCACGGCTTTGGAAGGCTAAATGAAAATGCCCCTCAGTGCAGTAAAGTGTTGATTTGAATTTTCATTAAACTGCAGCTCTGCATATTTTACCTGTCACCGATTCATTTAGCTAGCTGAGACATCACAGTATTGCACTCAAATTATTGTGAAAATATTTGCATTCTAATACTATGAGGACTTCTGTCCCTAAGTAGGATATAGTGTAGCTATGTGCTTTGTAAACAACAAAACAGCAGATGCGTTACCAGAAAATGAAGCATATTCCCACTTTATATTGCAGACGGTAAAATATTTCTGAGATGCAGACAGGTAGATCAGCACGGGTTGAGGTTTGGTGGCAAATCTTTACCCTTGCTGTGTAAAGAAACAATTGTTAAGGCTTTTCAAAATGTGGAGCCAAAAGGAAGGGGAAGAATCCAGTGAAAATACATTTCTTTTGGGAAGCTTCTTAATTTCGTTTCTGTGTATGCTATCAGGGACATGTATTTCTTGGGCTAAGCTTCAGCTTGTTGCTTGCATTAAGAACCTGATTAAAGGCACTCTTGAAGTGGGAAGAAGCCATTACATGGATTGAAGAGGCTCTAAATCAGACTCAAAGACTTCTTCCTTTCTATTTCCTCTCCTTTCTTCTGTCTTACTAAGTCCCTTCTGTCTGCCAGTGGACAAAACTCACTCCCTCATTACAACAGGCCGTGTGATATGTGGGAACACCAGGCATGGAGATGGGAGAAGGCAGGTGTGAAGAGTATGCTTCAGTGTGTGGAGCGTACAATGCCCTGCAGTAGCACCAGTACCTTCCTGTCACCTCTGGCAGGCTCCTCACTTCACCCAATAACCTAAGGTCAGAGAAGTGTCAATGGCACAGCTCTTGTGAGCACGACCTTTGGACACGTGCAGGATTACACTCCCTGCCACCATGCTTTAAATACACCAACTTTATTAACAGTACTTTTTAAAATGCATAGCTCATTTCTACACTGTTGCTGCTCACTTTCTTATTTATAAATATTTTTCCTTATTTGCTTGACAGTGTTTTCCCCTTTAGAATTGCAAAAATATATATTAAAAGTTTGAGAAAGATTGGATTCTATTTTCCTTTGCCAAAATGGTGTAGGGAGAGAGCAGGAGATCTGTGCATGGAGTACCTTGAATAAAGTCCTCCTGTGGGAGGCTTCCCCCTCCCCTGTATGGGAAAAAAGTTCCATTTTAGGTTTAAATTTCCCACGTTTTGAAGAGTTAATGGCCCTTTAGGTAGGACTATTCTAAAACCTAAATATATCACTGTAGCCCATTCATAGTTGGTTGAAGTGAAATGCTCCCTTACAGTGATGGGAAACATACTGTTGTGCTTTTTACAGTAAAGACTATTTGAAGTAAGGGCCTCCATGGGAACAAGTTTCCATTCTTGCAGATGTCTCTGAAAGTACTGCTCAATCAGAACGTATTTTTTAGCTTAGAGGGGCAGAACAAAATTTAGGGAACTGCAAAAATTTTCTATCTTTTTTAGAGTAAGTGACTTTTGGGGCTACCAATCTTGAGAAAAAATGTGCAAATCCACTAAACATTTGCTGCTGCTTTGCTTGTACTGGCTTCTCCTTCCCTCTGGCACTGTCCTTCCTTCATAGAGCCACTCTGCTGTTCCTGATAGTCATGGAAACTTGGGGAAGGAACCAAACCCGTGTGAAAAATCTTGTCCAGAAGGAATGTATTTGTTGCTAAATTTTCTAGCACTGTTTACAGTTTTCCTCCATGTTATTTATAAATTTTATATTCAGTGAATGTATATTGTCTTTTAAGGTAATGTTGCATAATGTTCACTTTTTATAGTGTCCTTTTATTCTAAACAGTAAAGTCGGTTTTATTTCTATCACAGACATTCTGTCTCTGCTTCACTTACATTAGTTTCTGTCCACTTCAAATGTACACAAATGGATTTGCAAATGGATTTATTCATTTCCTTCCCTTTCTTGATCCTGTTTTATTGGTCCCAGAGCAGATATTCCACCTCTGGCAATTCTTGCACTTTGGCTAAGATTCCTCCGTGAGTCCCTCCCTCTTTTTAAGAGGTTGGTCTCTCTAAGAACTGTTACTGTGGTCATTAGCCCGGGAGGGGCGAAAAATCCCTTTTGAAGTTAATGACTCCCCGTTGTTGACTGGCCATAGGAGGTCAGTACAGAGCAAGGCAGTCACTGGGGCTGGCTCTAGCACCAGTAGAGCCTTGGAAGAACAGTTGCCAGGTTGCTCTTGTTTCCAGAAAACTGATCACTGGGGGAGGACTGAAAGGTACATGCCCATGACAAAGAGAAGAGGGGTTCATCTTTTCTGATGTGTAATGTCAGAATCTTGTGTCCTCTCTTTCAGCTTACTGTTTAAGGCTGATTAAAATTGCCCTGTTGTCTTGGGAAAGAAGCTTCAGAGAAAGCATTTTCAGCTAAACTAAAATGCTCACAAAAATGGGCTTACTGTGAGAAATTTCCTTTATCCCACTTTTACTGTAGGAAAATCTTTATTCTTTACATGTATGAAAGAATGAAAAGGTTTTTGAATCTGTTCTGTGTTTAATCCAAAGGTTTAGAGGGTAAGCTTGGAAAAATTTTGGATGTAGAAGGATGAGGATCTCTTACGTGAGAACTGAAGTGCTTGAAGTATATCACATTGCAGAGAGGTAAAACCATAACACTAGTTATAAACACTTCCAGGGGGTCAGCCATCAAAGCACCATGGCATATTTTATGAGTGCTAACTGGTACAGCTTGAAAATGCCTCCAGGAAAGGGAAGAAAAAGAGTGGGAAATGGGGATCGTTTTATTCCTATCTGACAGATGGAGAAGCTGATGCAGAGTGGGAAGCAACTTTTCACAGGTATTTGGTGGAGTGATGACTCCATGGGAGATTGCTTGGTGTAAGCACTTGACCTCTCAGGCTCTCACAGCCCAGGATGCTGTGAAGAGGCACCCAGAAAGATATTTAGAAGTTGTCTAGGTTCATTCTGTGAGGCAGACCCCCCACCTGGAAAGGGCTGGCCTGAATTTGCCCAAGTGGATCGTTGCTTCTGTGAATGGTTGGAAAGTGGCTGTTTTAAACCAAATTACTCAAGCTTGCATGTCAGCAGTAGTGTTTGTGTTCATATGAGATTATCTAAAGTGTAAAAGACTTGCTATACTCTTTTGTAAGTAAGTAATAGCATCTCCAAGTAGGTGATTGGTTATAAAGATGACAAAAAAGTGAAATTAAGATCCGTGCTCTGCTAAACAAAACTATTATCCTGGTACCAAATACGTTTATGTCTGAGGAAATGAAAATCAGATTTCCAGACAGGAAAACATTGCTAAAAATGCTAGCTAACTTATTTGCAATGATCACCTTTATCAAGCCTTCCAAAAATACCATTCCTGAAGTGGTGGTCAGACGAAGTCACAACTATCCTGAAGCATTACATATGTCACAAATCCTTCTTCATAAATCATCAGGAATTAAATTCAACGGGTGTATTATCAACTAATTTATCTTAAAAGTGTGCAACAAACTGTCACATATTGTTTAGGGACCATCCATTTCTTTATGTCTCAAATGATAATGCAACTCTTACCACTGCATTACAGTCATGACTGTACTTACCTCCATGATGTGCCTGTGAAGTACAGAAGTGCTGTAGTCAGCACAGCACAGGCAGAGAACAGAGTTTTTGGAACAGAGAGGTGAAGGACTGGCATTTCAAGGTATTCAGGTACCTAGCTAGCACCAGTGGGATTTTTTACAAGAAACTAAATGAATTTTCCTTTTGAATTTTGAAGCTCCCACTAGGTGCTTACATCCACCGTCGGGTATGTACACCCTGTTACGCATTGTGGTTGGCCCACAGTATTGCAACAAGTGCGAGAAATATTTTGGGTTTGAATATTTCTGAGCCTTAGTTTAACATCTCAACAACCCTCATCTTCAGGCTGCCGATGCTGCTTGAGTTCACAATCAAGCCTGGGAAATTAGCTCAGCCAGCCAGTGGCTCACACAGGGGGTCATGGTTCATATAGGGTCTCATCAAAGCCTCAGCCAGCTGTGAAGAGCCACTGATTCGTGGATGTAAGTTGGGAGCAAAAATTCACAAAGGTCTAGTCTTCCTTTTAACCAGAGAAAACAAGAGACATGATCAGTTTTAAACAAAGCCCTTCTCTTTGCCGTGTTCTCTAGGACTAAAGGCACCTACGCAGATCTCTTTGAAAGGTGCCCTAAGAGTTTGGTACAGTGCCCAGCAGCCACACAGGGCACTGAGTGTTTAGTTGCTGACAGAAAGACTAGACCCCAGAGCCACCGTGCAAAGAAAACATTAGAAGCTGAAAAAAACTCTTTCAAGAACTTCAAGTTACTCTGAGTACCTTCAGGCTGATAAATGTTTTATGGATGGCAACCACGTGGTAGGCCAAGCAAACTAACATGGTGAAATAAATGCCTCTTATGAACCATGTCCCAAACTGTCACCATATTTTAAGCAATTCCAGGAGTGGGGAAGATCGCTTTGTCTGAATAGAGTGATTCCTTGCACTAAGGGATGAGCTTTTTGTTGACTAGGTTTTACAATGGAGTTCTGGTTTAGTTTTGAGACTGTTCTCATGGTTCACTTTACTAAGTGTCCATACATGACCTGGGAGAGGGCTGGGCAAAAAGGGAGATTCCCAAGAAGTGCCTTTTGCATATCACTTTTTAGCTTGTGTTTCTCTGTAAGTAAATGTGAGGCTCTTCCCACCATCTCTTGTGCCCAACTCATATTTGTTGCTTCTTCCCTCTCCATACTGGCATCAGAAGAAAGCAAAGTTACTCACCATCTGCTTATGGCTTGGGAAGAACGTTTGCTCCACAAGGGGGAACTTCTCAGGACCCAGGGAGTTGAAGATTTTAATGAGCTGAGAGAACTTGGGGTGAGGGAGGGGAAACAAAAAACAGACAGAGTGGATGTCAGTGGCTTATTGTGTAACAGGCAAGTGCTTGCAAAATGTTCTGATAGTGGTGAAGGAGGTGAGAGAAACATGTTATTATGCCTTTCCCACCTTGCTTTCTTGACCTTTGCTCTTGAGAGCAGCTAGAAAATATGAAGCAGCTGTATTTACCCAAGGGCAAGCCAGCCTATGTGCACAAACCTTGGACTAAGCAGAGAAGAGATTCAACAGCCTGAAGAAGATCAGTTTGGGTTTACTTACAGATATGCTATGAACAAGATTTGCTTTCCAAATGCAGTGGGGAGAGGGTTGGGGGGCCTTTCTTGGTAGAGGATAGAGGCAGGAAATCAGTGCCACCACTCCCCAGCAGAGACAAAATAGAGCAAAACTCTCCTTTGGATCTCTGCCCCACAGCTGAATCAAAGCAAGGCACATTGTGCTGAAGGGAAAGAGAATTATCAGGACACAGCAATTACTAGAGGGAATTGCCAGTGCTACCTGCTTTGAGTGTTAGGCTGAGGAAGCAGAAGCTCACTGTTAATCCTAACTGGCATTTATTACGAGCCAATGATTTCCCAACAGCCCTTCATGAATAATAGGAGAAAGAGGAGTTCATCTGCTACCCTTGTCCCATCTACCAGTGAGGTCTGAGTGAGGCACCAGTCTGTGAGGATGATATCTAGAGAAAATAGTATGTAACATAAATGGGGAAAGCAATAGTGCTGGTATTTCACAAATAAAGGTGAACATTTGTCATTGTCCCCACCTGTCAGGATGAATTTCACCATTATCACCGCTATCATCACCATTATAAAATGTTTGTCATTCAACCAGGCACAAAGCTCCCCATGGTAGGACTGAGTTTTGGTTTCTGTTCAGGTTCCAAAACCCTTGCAGAAGTATAAGCACAACAAATTCCTGTTTCACTTCAGCCATCTGTGAAGCAAGCAGACTATTCTGTAGGTTGTCTGCAACCTCCCTCTTCAATCCATCATCGATCACTTGGAGAAAAACTCAAAACTATAAGAGAGAAACTTAATAACCATGACAGAAAATGTTGCTGAAGCAGGGGTAATACACCAAAGAGAATAAGAGGTGATACATATCCCAGAAACCTTCCAGATCTGGGGAGAAACTTGGAGTCTTTACCATCAGACATCTAGCCATCCTGCTTATTCTCTGAAAAGGCCGCCCTGTTACCACAGGGAATGCTGAACTGGCAGTGCTGTTGGTGAAGTGGTGAGACTGTCAGCCTTTAAAAGGGGGAGTAAAGCTGGATGAGGGCACTTGATTATTTTCATGGATGGGAAGAGAATATAAAGGTTGGAGATTGGTTCCTGCTGAGCTGGTAAATGGGACTGAATTCCCCATGGAGTCCTATTTGCAAAGTAGTTTAGAAACTGAATTTTATTTCCAAGACCCCCAGAATTTTGTCAAATCAAGTTCATTAATAAAAGTTTCCAGTCTGGGCCAAGCAAGGCTGGATTGTAAGTCCTTTACATGAGTTTCTTCAAGTTCCCCATCAAAGCTAGGGATGTATTAATCTTGAAGGAAATCTCTGGGTTACCTGAGAGAGGTAACACACAGATTAAGGGAAGGACACAGACATCTAGGGAAGAAGGGAAAGAAAAGAAAGTTCTCTTTCTTCCTAATAGCATCAACTATTTAATCTTTTGTGTTCTGAACACTTCTGGGCAATGGCTGGAGCTATTAAATGCACCAAATTGCAACTCCAAGGTTACATTGCAGACAGAGCTACTGAGGATGTTTTCTGCTGAACAGCCGTATGAGGGCTCTTGTCCTGTTTACTTGACTAGTCTAAGCAAAAGCATTTCTGTATAAGAAGTTAAAACTTCACTTGTTTGAAGAGAAAAACATCTTTGAGAGTTAAAGCTTGGCATAGGTGTAGAAAAAAAGGCAGTCACTGTGCAAAAAATTAGGCTGCAAGGTGTGTGCCAGATACAGGCCAAATGCCGAAGGGGCAGCTGCCAGCAGATTTGCAGACAAATGCAAAGAATCTTTTTGCTAATCTCACAGATCAAAACATGGCATTTAAGAAAATCCACAAAACATCAAGAGGCGGCATATCCCATCAACGACACCACCACCCCCCTCACGTGCATCAGCAGATAAGAGAAAAACTCCCTGTGTAGAATAATTGTTGTTGGCAAGGAGGGTATTGATGTTGGGGAAGGAGGACAGCTCGCTTCTCTTAACCACTTGCATTAGCCCCTGCACATCCTAGAAAAGAATAATAAAGACCTGTTTTGACTAGCAAGGTGAGCAAACAGGGCTTTAAAATAAAACAAAATGAGACAGAGGCAGGGAGAGAAGGAAAAACACCCTGTCTGAGAGCAGCCCATGCCCCTTGCTGCGCGTGCACGCAACCCTGGTGAACCGTGGACACTGTGATGTTGAGGCGATGTACGTTTATCCTAGGAAAACAGCTCAAACAAAATAACTGGAACAACTGTGTGCTGATAGACAACACCCTGACTTGCTCCTTGGGCCTCCTGTTGAAGCATACAGCTCTTGGTTGTTGCTGAAATAAACAGTGTTGCAGAGGAGAGACTCAGACATCTGGGAGCATTGTCAGAGGACTAAGCCTACAGAAAGATCTGACTTTGGTATTGACCCTCACAGAAACATCTTCCTCCCATTTTCTCTTTTTCTGCCAGTTGTTAGGGAAAGATATTTACAAAGAGACACCCATGTTACATGGTACAGCAGCCTCTTAGATACCTGATAACAGGGCTCAAGTAACATCTCCCAGTGCAGATTGGTACGGAATGTTACTGTGTGCAGCTCAGCCAGATACAACTGCCCCTTCCACACTTTGGCATCAGTTCTTGCCTTCTGTGATTCCACTGGTTTTAGTGATATTCCATCCAGATCACAGAGCAAGACGTGGGGCAAGGCAATGTGGCACAGCGTGGTTTTAGGCACCTGGAACAGGTAGGCAAGTGAAATGCCTTGGCCTGACCGGTTGGACATCTAGAATTACATACTGGGAGTCTTTACAGAGGAACAAAAAGATCCATTCAGAAGATCTCAAGGCCTTTTGCATATTTTGAAAGTGCCTAGGTCATCGGTGAGCCTATATCCCTTGACAGTCAATAACAGTTTGGCTGGGATTCCCTGGACTCTGGAGGTGACTGTCTTCAAAATTTCATGTTTCCTGCAGCTTTACAGATATGAGGGTGCTTTGCAATTGTGGACATCACCTGCATGTAGTGCGAGTCCTGCTCAGAACATTCTTCCCACTGCATTTTGGATTGTAGCTTTTGTAACACAAAAATTGTTATTAGTGGTTGAAGCATTGTGCTTAGTGTGCTTAATAGCATTATTTCTCAATAGTTCTGGGAGCATCATAAAACTTAGATTTGTTAGATGTTTCTCTGTGTGTAAACCCCTTGAATACTCTTTTTTTTTTTTTTCTCAGAAACATCTGGTTCAAACTGTGCCTGTGTTTAATGCAAATTTTAACCTTTGAAGAAATCTGTGTATTGCAAATACTGGAAACCTGGCAAATGTCATTAAAAATGGGGCTGCACGTTTGAGTAAACTCAAACCCAAACTCAGCTGATTGTAATTAGAGTTTCTGAGAGTAAAACACACTAGCAAATTGCCAAGGAAGAACAGTCTCACTTCCACCCCCCTCAACAAAATCATAAACATTTCTATGGAATGGAACCATTTTTGGAAAACATAAAAAGTGAGAGTGAAAAGCACATTTCCCAGGGGTATTTAGTTTCTTTTCTTTATATATCTCAACTGTTTTCTAGGTCCAAAAAGTTTCCAGTAATCTTTGTTAAGCAGATCCCTTATTTCAAGATGCCTGTTTTGCAATCAGAGTGGAACGTGCACTGATAGTGTCCCTATCTCTCACTTCCCAGCTATCACAAACCCCAAATTTTCTGAATCTGCTGTCAGTGAAGCTTTTTGCCCTCAAATGCCCCACTGTAATCTCTACCTGAGGTTCAACCTGATAAAATTTCAGTGGTGCCACATGCTCTTAGATTACTTAGCATGTTACAATCTCTGGTTTGGGGGGCGATGTGTGTGCAGGGGCAGTAGGGAAAGGAGGCATTCTGAAAGCTTGTTTTAATTGTTTACAAGTGGTTTCCTTGACTCCTCTGGGAAGGTTTACTGAGCCAGCTGTATTCCCTGTGAGGAAAGCATGGCACTACCAGACCCAGAGTAGCCAGAGCCAAGTTACTGGCAGAGCCAAGTTCTCCCACACTGCCTTTCCAGCACTGTTTTTCTTTTTCTTTCTTTCTTTCTTTCTTTCTCTCTCTCTTTCTCTCTCTCTTTCTCTCTTTCTTTCTTAGACCTAGTTAAAAGATTCGCCTCTTTAACTTTCTTGTCTTTGTTTTCAGCTAATTTCCTCCCAATAAAACACCCCCAGAAAAAGCAGGGAAGAGAAGACAAGTGCAAGGTGCACTTCTTCAAGGAGTGCATGATCTAAGGCTGGGGCACCTGGGTACCACAAGTGTGCATCTAACCAAAGATGCTAGAAATAGTGTAGTTCATATACCTTCTAAAACAGTGAATAATAATTTTTTTTAAGGTAGCTTTACCTTTTTTTTTAGTCAGGACAAGGATATGTTGTTATTGATCCTATTAATCTATTCATCTACTCTGCCTTACAAGACATCTAGGTGTTGCTGTACTGTTAGCTGTTTGTGACACTTTAGAGTTGGGACAAGTGAAATGTCTTACTCTTACTCAGGGTGAAGAAATAACACCTTGATACAGGTAGAGGCTAATAAAGAAGTAGTTATAGTAGGTTTTTTTCCCCAAGAATTCCCAGCTGGATTCCTAAGGTTGTTTAGATGGTGGTTTTAACCTAAAGAGACAAATTCCTGTGAAAGAGGCTGGCAGCTGAGTTTGGTGCTTTATCGATACAGGATATCTTCTTTGCAGTGTTGACATACAGTGGAGCTGGATCATCACTTACCACCCAGGGCTTGCTGCAGAAGTTGTAGATGGAGTAGAGGGAGTTGACTGTGTGGATGCCACCATACTGGAGGCCGATGATGAGGCTGCGGAAGTCTTCTCCCAGTGCCATGCTGTAGGCGTGCTGCCGAATCAGCACAAAGTCCGGCTTGAAAGACCTGGAAGAAGTGAGGGGGAGGGATGTTTTACTTTGAAATGCTCAGCAACACTTCCAGCCTCTCCTTCCCCTTTCTTTTCACTGACAGATGTTGTTCTTCTCTGCGCCTCTCCTCATGGGTTGCTTTTGTTAGAAAGTAACAAACAATACCAAACCAAACCCCTAGCCACTAAAAAAAAGGAAAAATCCATCATAGCTGCAAGTGTGAGAGCATTGAAACAAGCCAAACAGATTTTCTGCAGTTTCCTTGTCACTCAGACAGGCATAGGAGTGAGCCACGAGTGGAGCCAAGGGTCATAAATTCACTGATGGGGGATTCTCTTTTCTTTCTAAAAGCTTGGCCATATTTGGCAAGCTCATTGCAATGTGCAAAGCAGATGAGGGAGCAAGTTTGTTTCCTGATGATTGAACTCGATATTGAAGCAATGCCCAGTGGGTGGGAAGATCATAAGGGATTTCAAAAACCTATCCTACACATTCATTCATCGACAAACATTCCCCCTTTAATCAGTTTACTACGCATGCAGCACATCCCGAGCCCTTACGGATATGAGTCAATAAGCAAAGGGCATGCTTGTTTGATTAATTAATGTGATTAATCAAACAAGCAGAGCCCCTCATACAGTGCTGTGGCTCATGGCATGGACTTCCAGAATATTATTTAGCAAGGCTAGAGCTGGGACTCCTATGGTTCAACAGCAGCAGCTCTCAGCAAATGCACAGAAAAGTGAGGCCCTTTCTAGGTAAGCCAACAGGCAACAGACTGTCTTTCGAGCAACCAGATTTGATTCCTTGCTGACGCTGTGCCTTTGGAGCCACTCAAAAATCTCTGGAAACAGTCCCTGGAAAGAAACTGTTCCCAAAATGGTATTCAGCAGTTCATTCCCAAAGGCGTGGAAGGGGCTTTTCCACTGAAACGGGATTATTTTATACATTAACAGAGGTTGCGTCAAGGACATCGGAAAAATTTCCATGTTGTATTAAAGATTTTCGGAGAAATGAGCTCTGTAACCAGGTTCCATTACCTCACTATCCTCGAACATTTTCCTTGCTAAGAGACTATAATTTCTATCCTTTGAATGTATGAGTTGGAAATACTTTGGGTTTACAGCCCCTATTTATATTTCCATCATTCTGGCAGGGAAATCCGAGATGGTGATTCTGGGCCAGATTGTGGCAACAAACACTGTACACAAACCCCGGCACAGCTTTGTTGTTTTAAGGCTGTTCACTTTGTTTGTTGGCCTTGAACTTTTGTTATTGCCCACCCGAGACGTGGTGAAGAGCATGCTCAGCTTTTGTGGTGCAAGAGGCCAAGCTTTGGAAATGTTGTGATTCCCTCCTGTGGAGTTTTTTTTAAATGCAGACATGTTCCCTAATGTACTTGGCACCAAAGGTGGTGCTTTCCTCCAGCAGCGAGATGAATAATGAGCATCAGGAGGCCTGTGCTATCGCTGTGCAGCTGATTTATGGACCTCCCTGGTGTCAATGGGGATGAGGGAAGCAGTGATCGCCTGCTGAGAAACAGCAAGTGAATACAAATCTTGGAAAGCTTGAGCTACTCCATTCTGCTGGACTTGCTGTGTAGAAAGTACCCTGGAGGCAGGCATGGGTCCTCAGGAAGGATTAACCAGCATCTTAGGATCATGGCTCAATATCTGTGCTGAGTTGCAGAACAGTTGTGGTACCTGGAGGAGCAGGAGCTCGTCTTTCCTCATCCAGCCTTCTGAGTGTATGAATGAAAAAATGGTCCCTGTTACAGGCAGGTCAAGTCTTTCCCCAAACTTGACTCATGAAACAGCATGTACTGGGATTTCACGGGAATGCTTCAGACCATTGGCCTGGCCTCCTCAGAGGAAGCGGCAGTACTTGCCCTTGAAACTCCTCCCCATCCCTGGATGGGGATGTGGTGCTGTGGTATGGAGGAAGGATGCAAAGAGTGTGGTCAGCTTTGCAGGGAAGACACTCAGTGGTTGGGAAACTGACTTCAGGGGCTTTACTTCTGCCAGCAGAAAGCTCAGGAAAAAAAGCTCTTGTCTTTTAAGATCCTGGCAAAGGAAGAGTTTCTCCACTTAGAAGATGAACGTAAGAATACAGAACTAACATGGAGAAGCCTATTCTCACACTCTTTGTCCTGTAGGAAGGTAGGGCACTCTCTCATGTGGCAGATGAGGAGTGAATCTCTAGAGTAAAGGTGGACACTGAATGCCTGTTTTGAGCTGTGAAACAATGTGGATGTTCCCATGGATACTGAGAACAAGGCAGTGGAGTGCCAGACCTGAGACTAGCTAAGTATAAACATCAGCTGGAGAGCCCCAGAGCCTGCAATGCAGAAACAGAGATCAGTGGCAAAATGAGAGGCGAGGGGCTAGGAAGAATAGCAGGCAGTAAAAGGGAAATGAATACTCATGGTAGGAGTGGTGGCATGAAAACTGATTAACTGGAGATACCAGTGATCTGGTGAGAAAAGAGCTTATTTGGTTCACATGAGGATTCCTGGGCTTTTTGGTAGAAGACTACTTTTGCAAGCTACTGCTCATTCTCCAAGTTTAAGCTTAAGCTAACAGATAATAATAAAAAGCTAACAGATAATAAATAAAACTGTACCTATTCCTTTCTAAAGACAGACCATGGGAATGGCTTTGGTCAGAAAAGGAATACAGGAGACTCCATTCAAACATCTAGCGGGCAGGGAGATGGGATAGGTAAATAGAACTAAAAGTAAACCACAGGTTTAAAACATGTCACTAGTAATCTGTGCTCTGCATGGTGGTGCAGTGCTGTTCCTGGGCTGCATAGAACCTATCTGAAGTTGTGAATCTTCCTTAGCATAGCAGCCAGATGGGTGATACTCCTGGGAGAAAGCTGGAGCCCATCTTTGGCCACAAACCAAAAAGGAGCCCTTTTCAGACCCCAAGAACTCAGTTATCATTGTTTGGCTTCCAGCGCTGCCTGGCAAAATGAAGACCACTAAAATGCATGTAGCACCTTCTCAAAGTCGTGTAGAGACAGAAGAATCCGTTGTTTAAAAGAAACAAAAAACCAAAGAAAAAGCCAGGTGATTGGAAAAAATCAATTTTTAGATTGAAATAGAAGGTGAGATTTCATTTTTGCTGGGATGAAAAGGCGCTTTTCTTTCAGCTCATGCTGCCACAGGCAGTGGCCTCTGCCAAACATGACGTGAGCCTTTCAGTACTCCAAGTGGTGCATAAATGAACCAAGACACCCCCAGACCCCACAGGTCCCTGTGGCTTTCCTCCCTGTACAGTAAGTTGCCTCCTTCTCCCAAGTGGTAGCTAAGGCACACGGTGTTTACTCAGCCTACCTCTGCCTAGTGTCTGGTTTGGAAGCTGCTAGTGCTGCCAGTCCTGAGCCTGGATTGGATGAGCAGGATGCTTATCTGCATTTAACTAACTCTTTTTCAACATGTTCCAATGCCTTTTAGCAGTCTTTTTCTTTCTTTGTGGTAAAACTGTACTTTCAGAGACAAGCCTAAGTATAAAGCCTGGATTTAAAATGTCTAATAGGAAGAGATCCAACTGCAGAATATAATTTCCTGCGTTGGACCCATCTACCCTGACAGCATTAGCTGTCTTGGAAATAGTTTTGTCAAAAATGGGGAAATATAAAACAATTTAAGGGATTCTGATGTTAAATATGGAAGTCAAACATATCAGAAGCAGCAGTAGCTGTTCTGGTGACCATGTGTCTAACTTCTCTCATTATGAGAAGAGGATTAGCTCTGAAAAGATCATCAATAACATTTCTGTGCAGAAAACAGGGCCCCAGCCTGCTTTGCAGTAGAGAAGATGATGACAGCAAATCCTGCTGGGAGGTTTCATGCCTTAAAGAGGTCTCCTATTTCTTATTTCTGTATATAAGCATAATCCTGGCTTGCTTCTTGGTCCTTTAGCTTTCCTCACTGAAGTGCAAATAGATTCATGACCATGAAGAAGGAACCCACAAGAACAGATTATTTGTATCAGAAATAGCACAATCAGCACACTAGATTGTCCCCCTGTACTCAGCACTGCTGAGGCTACACCTCAAATACTGTGTTTAGTTTTGGGGCCCTCCCTAAAAGAAAGACACTGAGGTGCTAGAGTGTGTCCAGAGAGGAGAACAAAGCCACTGAAGGTTGTTCAAAGGTGGGGGTTGATGTCTTCTCCCAGATAACAAGTGATGGGGCAAGAGGAAACAGCCTCAAGTTGTGCCAGGGGAGGCTTAATGGATATTAGAAAAAATTTCTTCACAGAATGGGTTGTCAAGCATTGGAACAGGCTGCCAGGGAAGTGGCTGAGTCACCATCCCTTGAAGTGTTCAAACTGTGCGTGGATGTGGCACTTAGAGACATGGTTTAGTGGTGAACATGGCAGTGCTGAGTTAACAGTGGGACTCAAGGATTTTAGAGGTCTTTTTCAACCTCAAGAATTCTATGATTCTATTATTGCCAAAATACCTTTCAATGACCCCTCCACTGTGAATAGTCTCTTGTAGCCAAAGGGTAGACCTGTTTTATGCTTTAGCACTGTGATGGGTTCAAAGAGCTTTTTACCAGTGCTGTGGGAGAAGGAGGGACTCTCCTGCTCCTTTTCTTAAAGACTGTCAGTCTTACAAGACACCTTGCCCTTCAAATCAGTAGAAAAATATCTTCCCAGGACATTGAAGACACACATCCTCACTTCAGGTTCTGTCTACCCTCCATGATTTAAGAGGCTTTATTCAGCTTTTAGACACTTGCCAGTGATCAACACATTTTGACTAAGTTCCCTTCCAAATCCTTTCCTATCTGGTTGGCATGACACAGAGAGGAAGAAAAGTACATAATTAAGCAATATGATACAGCAATCTTTGCATTATTGGCAACTAATGGAGCCTTAAGGGAAGTTTCTGAGGCATAATTCCAAGCCATAAGTGGCTACAACTACATGAGAAGCTCAATAACCACTCAAACTGTGCAGTGCCTCAGGTGTCTGATAGTTAATAGAAAATGGCATTTAC